TTGCAAATGAACACCTCTAATTGACATTTTTGCAAATAAACACATAAAAAATGGTATTTTTGCAATTTCCCCATTATTCAACTCTATAATCTATTAATCTTCCATACCATGTGGTCGTAATGGCTTTGATATTATCGTTTTCGTTATAGTTTGTATTATAATGTTCTCAAGTCTTCTTATAAAAATTTTAAAAAGTCTTGTTAAAAAATCAAGTCTGTTGGTTCTACACATCTATTGTAGATTTTGGTATATTACTACAAATAGTACTGAGTTTGATTGGCAATGATACGACAAAAAAAAAGACGTATATTTTTCATACCATTTTTTCAATACTGTTAGGTTTCAGTTTTACCATTTTTCACTAAAAAAAAATTAAGATCGTGGGTGATTGGTTGGGTTGTAGCTGTAATTGCTGTAAAATTCGGGATGTAGACGTTTTTGTTGTAGTTTTAGAATTTTGGCTGTAACTATTAAAAAGTTAAAGTATGATTGGTAGATCTGTATGTTGTACAATTTTTTTATAATTATAATTACAAAATAAATTAATTGATATATATATATATATATTTCTTTTAGGTATAATTGATATTTATATTAATAATGTATATGGAAATGCATTTAACTAATATAATATTGTTTTATATAAAAAGTTAAAATTAAAAGAAAATATGCATATATATATTAATATTTTTTATAAGTAGTACATATATATTAATATTTCTATATAAAAATTAGTGTAAAAATTGTATGCATATATATGACTATGTATATAAACATTGTAAGTTATGTAACACAAATCATTTTATAACAAAATGTGTTGTGCACTGCATTGTATATAATATTATAATATATATATATAATATAGAAATAAGAGGAGAGAGAAAACGTGAAGAACAAAAAAAGTTTCAAAGAAAAAAAAGGTGAAAACGAAGGTATGGTCGTACGACCTCTTTATTTTTTTCTACAGCACTCGAAATATGGCTGTAGAAAATCAAAGAGTCACAACAATTTTTTTTAAAAATTAATTTAAAAGGTGATCGGTAACTTTTAAAGTTGTAAAAAAAATTTAAGCATGTAACTCAGCCCAACCAATCACATCCATTATCTTTCTAATGACCAATTAAGCCCATAACTTATTTTTATGCAGGCCTTTGACGTTGTGGATTATAGAACCCATGAAATGATAAGATCCATGATATTAAGGCACTAACTGGTAACTTGAAGAATTTGTAGAATAGGAATAATTTAAAGAATACGAGGAATTAAATTGTTTTTGTCACCGGTCGGTAAAGTTGAAGGATGTGATGAATTTGTTGAATAATGACTTTTGGACAAAAATTGATGAATTTGTGTTTCTTCTCCAAATTTGAAGAATTTGATTAATTTGATGAATTTGTAGAATTTGAAAAAAAAATTATTGGCATTCT